ACACACACACACACACACACACACACACACACACACACACACACACACCAGTCCCTTATATGCTGCCAAGATAGTCCTTTATTTCTAATACTGGTAGCTACTTTTAATGCTTACATCCAACTCCTAGTCAGAAAATTCTCCCTACTTCCCAGCCCACACTCCAAATAAAACCATACACAAAAAAGTATAGAACATTCCTGAAAATACTGAGATTTTTCAGGCAGATGGAATCTGAGATTTCAGAGCGACATGCACAGAAAAAGAGGATAGGAATGTTAATAATCAAGTCTGGAGCTCCCAGGGGAAGACAAGTCAGGCAAAGATGAGCGAGTTAAAAGGCGAGGGCCAGCATGGCAAGGCATCATGCTGAATGCCTGACACCGGGGAAGGTAGGCACCTTCAGGCTCTACATGAAACATCTACATGAGTGGTTCTCAACCTTCCTAAGGCTGCAGCCCTGTAACACAGCTCCTCATGCTCCCCACCATAGAATTATTTTGTTGCTACTTTCACAACTGTAATTTTGCTACTGTTATGAATTGTAATGTAAACATCTGATAGACAGCATATCTAGTATGTGACCCCCCAAAGGGGTCACGACCCATAGGTTGAGAAACACCTACATGAAAAGTTATTTAGCCCAGGGAGAATCAGTGACTGAAGTGAGAAGGAAATAGCCAGAGGTAGAAGCTAAAGCCCAGTGTTATAAGGAAGAGACAAGCCAAAAAGCTTTCTGGAAGAAGAAGAAGAAAAAAAAAAAAAAAAAAAGACTTGGAAGATGAAGTGTTTCAGTTGGCTAAGCAGACCAAGAGTGAAGAACAAAAGGCTACTGAGTGTGGGTAGCAAAGAGTCATCAGTGACCTTAAGAGTTCAGCTTTTGGGGCTGGAGAGATGGCTCAGAGGTTAAAAGTACAAGCTGAACTTACAAAGGTCCTGAGTTCAATTCCCAGCAACCACATGGTAGCTCACAACCATCTACAATGAGATCTGGAGCCCTCTTGCATGCAGGTACACATGCAGGCTGAATACTGTATAAATAATAAATAAATATTTTAAAAAAAAAAAAAAGAGAGAGTACAGCTTTTACAGAATGGCTTCCGTTCATTAAGGAGCCATGGAAGCATTTCTGAATGAAATCCTGAGTGCTCAAACTTAAACATTAGGAATGGAAAGAAGACTGTCAGAAGCACAGACCAAGATATATTAGATGTTAAGATTTCTGGCACAGAGGCCTGCTGCCATATTTGTTGCCATATGTATTTATTGAACCTACAAAGCTGTGACTCTCCAGCAAATCTCTGGAGACAGAAGATTGGACTCCTGAGAATTAAAGGCTGACTTCATCCAAATCTGCAGACTGAAAGTATTGGCAGTGGGCAGATGCAGGCTGAGTAGAGAAATTAGCAGAGACTGGGAGAAAATGGAACCAAGAAAGCAGAAAGGGTTGCTGAAGGCCCACAGTGTAGAAGCAAGGAGGGGTTGAGAAGATGGACAGGAATTAGCTATCCAAAGAACCCCTAGAGTTTGAGATCTCAGAAGTAACTGTGGAACGCAAGGACAAAGCTTCATACATAGCATTAGAAGTGAGATTCTTGTGTGGGTTAACTCTCAGCAGCTGAAGGAGAGAGAGAGCTCCAGGTAAATCAGCAGGCTGGCCAAGCATTGGCTGCAGAAGGGCAGCAGGTGAGAGGAGTCGGAAGACCTGAGAGCACAACCAGCCGTGATGCTGCATTCTGCAATCCCAGCACGCAGTAGCCTGAGCGGGAACCACAGCAGGCAAAAGCCAAGTCTGTTACACAGTGAGACCCTGTCTGGAAAACAAATGAATCAATAACAATAAAAAATAAACAAAAGGGCAAAATTTAGTAGCCAAACTCAAGCCAGCGAAGAAAAGAAAGGCAATCCTGACCTATTTCTTACAATGAAACAAACATTTTCATTGAGAAAGCAAGAATGCACAGCTTAATTTTCTTAGATATAGTTCATATACACTGTATATAATTTTCAGCATGTTAAAAAGTACCCGCAACAGTAATAAAACAAAACAAAACAAAACGAACTCAGATAACTTTCTACTCTTCTAATGACCAGGTTAATTTCACCTGGACTACCCAGATGGAACCAACTGGCTGACTGTCACAAATCACATATAAATAAAGAGAGAAACTAATTCCAAATGCCGCAACTGTGGTGACAGAACTGGCCGAACAACCCAAAAGTCCAGTTCCGTAAAAAACCACTTAGGAAAGCTGAAAAGGTCAATGATTTTCAAGGATTTCGGACACTCACCAGCAACTGTGCAGGCAGCCTATTCACTGTTGGTGCTGTCCTGTCATCTCAGCAGACTGACACATGAGACCACCAACGAGATTCCTCACACAGCAATGGCGTCTAGCAGGGACATATTAATTTGTACCTCTGCAAAGTGCCATTAGATGTCCATACCGTTCCATAAAATGCAACTTAACCTTTAAAATCTCTGTTGGCAGAGAAGCTATGAATTTCACATGCTCTGATTTAGAGATTTGAAAACTAAGGCACAAACACCTAAATACCTAAACTGAAGTTCAACTGTGGCCAGTGCAGCCTTCCTAAGGCTCTCCCCACATCCCACCTCAGGGAGCAAGTACAGGGCTAGGCTGGCTATCCTATCATCATAAAATAAATGTGCTCTTCTGTACAGGTAAAACAAAAATCTAGAAGGAAGAATATTCAGAAATTTAAACTCTTTTCTTGGTGTTACACCATATAATTGATAATTATAATTAACTAATAATATTAGAAATAATATTAATTTAAACTGTACCTTTATGGCTTCTGATGAAAGTGCATTTTCCTTTTTCTTACTTGTGCTCATGGGCTCATTTTCAACACTGAAAGATAAAAAGCACAGTGTCTTCTGAAATTAAAGGGAAATTATCCAACATGTACAGTTTCTCTACCTAGACAAGAACTTGAAAGGCCGTTAACCTGCAATGGTCGGAGAGTTACAGAAACAGGCTGATTGGAATCGAAACTGGAAAAGGGCATCCAACCCTGCTCATCCAGGCCTCTGAACCTCCTGTGAATTCATCATGCCACCTGTAGCCTTATGTTGATGATCTCATGACAGCAGTGGCAGAACCAAACAAAGAAGTACTAGTTCACTGCTATCCTGACCTTATTTACATCAAGGCTCTCCACAGCCTGATATTATTTTAGTGCCTGTGCTTAGCGATATTTCTATTCGGCAAGTCATTATATAGATACATAGTTTCACCCAGTAAATTCTTTGAATGCTCAACTAAAGATGCAGGTTTATCTGGTCCCAAATTGTCTGAGATAGCACATTAAGTAATCAATTCAAATTTTAGGGCAGTCACTTTTAATTGTCTCATGTGGAACTTCACAGATGCTCCAAGAAATGACACCCAAAACTAAACTTCACAGCTCGTTGCTATCAAGCAGGTATGAATCTTAAATTTAAATGTGTCTGTGTCTATTCGTTACTAGGTTTTCACTTTTTCCTCATCCTTGACAAACTGAGTATCTCCAATGAAGATCACTAGGACTGTCTACCTTGGACTAAGGATTGGGCTTGGCTTTTAACATATCAGGACAGGGAACTCAGATCTTCAATCTGTCTATTTCTGGAGATTGCTACACGGTCTTCAACAGTGCAATCTGTTAAATATTACAGCTGCTGAATGAACAAAGTACTCTGGAGCACAGAACAAACAATAGCTTCTGCCCGCTCCATAAAGAAATGCCAGGGGAAGTTTGAGAGCAGGGAGTCCGAGAATACAGTACTTCTGGAAGACACATGTTTCATTTGTTTTTAGTTTAACACTGGAGCACACAACTTGGGACAAGCAGAGTTATTCCTGTAGCAGATGTTAATGGAGCAGAGGTTAATTGAGAACTGGCTCAACCCGTTTTGGAATGCAACCCTTCTAGGTCCTGAGGGCAGTGTGAAGACTTTAGAGGCCTGAGACAGGGGACAATTACATCCACTGTGACCATGGACCCATGATCACCTCTGGTGCAGTAACTGGAAGAGGAAGCTTCAGTAATTCAGATCAGATGAAGGCCAGCCCCAGGGCCGATGGGACGAGGACAAGTAACTGATGCTCCACAGGCTTTTCTATCCATAAAAGCCGGTGCTGTCCTGGAGAATACCCGAGGAATTATCAGTGATAGTCCTAAGACAAGTGTATGACAAAGCGCATCAACACCTGGAAGATACGCTGGATTACATGTCCAAGATTCTAGGCAGGAATGTGGGGGCACAGAGATACACCTATGCCCCTAACCGTTTCAAACGTCAGAAGAAAACATAAGCATGTTTTTTAAAAAAAATGGATAAGCCGGGAACAGTAGCACACACGTGTAATCCCAGCACTCAGGGAGGGCAGAAGTAGATGGATCTCTGTGAGTTCAAGGCCAGGCTGGTCTACAAAGCAAGTCCAGGACAGCCAAAACTATCCCATATTCTTATCCTGTTTCATAAGATAAGAATACATTAGTGACTGCAGTTTTAAAGAAGAGTCAGTTCTTAGTTTATTATTATTATTATTTACTTGTTTGTTAACTTTACCTGTTGCCACAGACAGTTTATATCTAAGGTGTTTGTTTGTTTTTTAAGTTATACATAATTGACATTAAGCTACTTACGCTCAAGCCAAAAAAATAAAAAAATAAAAAGAACTGGCAAAATCATGTCCACACCAGCACACTGTAAGTGTCTGTTCAGGATCATACTAACTACACTGGTTGTACAAATGAACCATGGGACTCTAACCTCAACAGCCTGCCGAGAAACTAACCAAACATACAGCAACTGCTTAATTTAATACCCCATTCCTAATTACCTAAACTCCGTGTCAAACAGGCAGCTCTAACCTGCTTGGGCTGCATGTGACCAGGGTTAGCTAGGAACGCAGTATACGCAAAATTTAAAACTTACTTCACATGTTACAAGGATTTCTTTTCTTTTTTATTTTCATCTAAGCTTTTGTGATTCAAAGGTGCAGCTGTTAGGAATGAACTCTACAATGACAAAGTCGTATCAGAACATCAAAAGGTCAGACACAGCTGAGTTTTGAGAGTCCTTCCAATATATTTCCTTGGTAAAACGGTAAGTAAAACTAGTAAAAGTTCTTCTAGTACAAAAGCTCTGCTGAAAATGCACCGTTGGCCTTCTGCAACTAAAGTAAAGAGTCTGCAAGGAGCTGTAATCACTTGCAAGTGCACATGAAAGGCACATGCATACATACACATAAACACACACACTATACGCATGCAGTTACACATATATACACACACACACACACACAACCTGAAAAACACAACAGCATTCAGCAGGAAGCATGGTATGAACAACGAAGTAAAGCTCACATTACCACTTGAGTCTCTAAACGTTTTTTCTATAATCCTCCGATTCTTATCACTAAAGCAAAACTTTAAAATGTGTTGTGTTGTGCTCTAGCTGAGTGCTTCGAACAACACATTTTAAAATTGTGTTTAGGCTGAAGAGAGTGATGCTTGGCTGGACCACAACACTGCCCTCTACACTGTAGAGGCAAGGGGATTAGATGTGAGAGCCCAGATGGGCTGCCTAAACAGTCTATTTTTAAAATAAGTCAGCACTGTGATAGTGATAATCATCATTGCCTAATTCAAGATTGCAACACTTCTTTTTCAAATGATTATAATCTCATCTTAACTGATCTCTTTATGATTTCTCTGCTTCAATTAATTCTTTACCAAGAAGATCAAAGTGCTTGTTAATGTCATCATGACATTTTTGTGTTAAAAATTCAACAAGTCTTTCTATCCACTGGTGAATAAGATAAAGGGTATCACATATAGAGAGGCACAGATGCAGAAGCACCCATGCACGCACGCTCACACACACACAATTCTCTATATGGTTGAGATACACCTGACACATAGAATCATTTGTAACTGCTAGAACATGCCAGGTTCTCAGGCCAATAGTCTGTTTGCAACAGTTTCTCCTGAACCAACATTTCATCTTTTGCAGTTCAGTGTCTCCTGTGTTTGCTTTCTTCTGACTGAACCCAGAAATACCTGCTTTTTATTGTAACAGCTGTCTATTTGTTCAACTCAAATAGGAACTTTTAAATTCAGTGAATGTGTCATTTCTGTCACACAGCTGAGCACAGTGTACAAGTACTGTTAAAGCACTTGAATGTGTGTTCAGTGTTACGGGCTTGTAAGAGGTTATCAATTTGTGTCCGCATCTCCCATCAGAAACCAGGCTCTACTGAGCACACTGTGGCTGATCTCTGTCATCTTGTTGTAAGGACAATAAAGAGTCAGGTTAGAAGAAAGAGGATTCTGCAGGAACAAAGTCTTTTCAGTGTTGTGTTTTGTTTTGTTTTCTTTTCATGATTTATCATGAATGTTGTTACACAGTCCTGTGAAATGAAACCCTAGGCAACAAAAGTATTTAATAAGATAAAAAAAAATTTAATTGAATATTCTTTCATACTGTGTTTTGGGCAGTATTTAATAGTTCTCCAAATTGTACACAATGTGATGGACCAAGGGCCGCACAAACATTGTTTGCAGTCCACATAATCTCGTAATAAATCAGAGCAATTTGGGGCAAAATAATAATTGCAAAATGTCATCATAAATTAGCCATTAATTTCCATTTTAAACAGGAGTTATGTTATATATCTTAATAGTCTGTGTTGGCACGATTAGGAAGGTTCTTCTTTATCAAGAATACACATAGCTGTCAGGGAAGAAATAAAGAAATTAAAGTCTTCCTAGAGTTCAATGAAAATGAAGACACAACATACCCAAACTTGTGGGACACAATGAAAGCAGTGCTAAGAGGAAAGTTCATAGCACTAAGTGCCTTCAAGAAGAAATTCGAGACAGCTCATTCAAGCAACTTAATGGCTCACCTAAAAACCCTAGAAAAAGAAGAAGCAGACACACCAAAAAGGAGTAGATGGCTGGAAATAATCAAACTCAGGGCTGAAATTAATCAATTAGAAACAAATAAAACAATTCAAAGAATCAATGAAACCAAGAGCTGGTTCTTTGAGAAAAAACAACAAGATAGACAAACCCTTAGCCAAGCTAACTAAAAGGCAGAGAGACACCATCCAAATCAACAAAATCAGAAATGAAAAGGGGGACATAACCACAGACACTAAGGATATCCAAACAATCATTAGGACTTACTTCAAAAGTCTATATGCCACAAAATTTGAAAATCTAAATGAAATGGACAATTTTCTTGATCGATTCAACTTACCAAAGCATAGTCCTATATCCCCCAATGAAATAGAAGTGGTCATCGAAAGTTTTCCATTAAAAAAAAAAGCCTAGGACCAGATGGTTTCAGTGAAGAATTCTACCAGACCTTCAAAGAAGAGCTGACTCCGATTCTCTTAAAATATTCCACAAAATAGAAACAGAAGGAACATTACCAAACTCATTCTATGAAGCCACAGTCACCTTGATACCTAAACCTCACAAAGACCCAACAAAGAAAGAATTTCAGGCCAATCGCCCTTATGAACATTGATGCAAAAATACTCAACAAAATACTTGCAAACCGAATACAAGAACACATCAAAGATATCATCCACTATGACCAAGTAGTCTTCATCCCAGGTATGCAGGGGTGGTTCAATTCACGAAAATCCATCAATGTGATCCACCATATTAACAAACTGAAAGAAAAAAAAAAACACATGATAATCTCCTTAGATGCTGAAAAAGCATTTGACAATATCTAACATCCATTCATGTTGTATTGTTGTATTGGAGAAATCAGGGATATAAGGCACATATCTAAACATAGTAAAGGCAATATGCAGCAAGCCTATAGCCAACATCAAACTGAACG